AATTTCGGCCAAGGTTAGGGGTTCCCTTTTGAGGCTTTATCTTATCAAAGTTAATGGGTTTTGGGGAAGAAGACTTAGAGAGATGGGTTTAAAAGCCTTAGAACTCTTGAAGAAGATGGAGTTTTAGAGAGGTAGAATCAAAAACAAGAAAAAAAAAATAAAGGGGGGAGGCGGAAGTTTTTTGCTGGAACCGGACAGAGAAAAGGAAAAAGAAGGAGAAAGGAAAATTAGGTTTTGGGGTTTTAAATGGGCTTGAACCGGCCTGAACCGGACCCTGACTTGAACCGAACCAGTCTGGACCGAACCAGTCTGAACCAAATCAACCGGAGCGGACCAATCCTAGCTTGTTGATTCGCATGCGTGTGAACCGCGAAATGTGGGTTCGCGCGTGTGGAGAGGTCCGGGGATAATTCATATGCATTTCGAACCTCTTTTCGGATATTTTCGATATATTCGACACCTGTATTCATACTCCAATGAGAATACGAGTTTAAACTATTTCTCACAGTTGACAGGAAGTTCCTGGAAAATATTATGTATACTCCAATGAGAATACGAGTTTAAACTATTTCTCACAGTTGACAGGAAGTTCCTGGAAAATATTATGTATAATATTTTTAAGGATAACCCGTCAACCTCCGATGGGTACACGAGGCTAAACTAATTCCCGAAACTCCTAGGAGCACACGAGTATAAACTGGTTCTCCTCATGTTGGTTCGAAACCCTCGGGTCAACGCCGGTCAACGCGTAACCCTAGGTCAACGCCATTCAACGCGTTGCGACCAAAGTCAACGTTTGACGATTCGTAACCCTGGGTCAACGCCGGTCAACGCGTAGCCCTAGGTCAGCGCCAGTCAACGCGTTGCAACCAAAGTCAACGTTTGACGATTCGAAACCCTAGGGTCCACGCCGGTCAACGCGTAACCCTAGGTCAACGCCAGTCAACGCGTTGCAACCAAAGTCAACGTTTGACGATTCAAAACCCTAAGGGTCCACGCCGGTCAACGCGTAACCCTAGGTCAACGCCAGTCAACGCGTTGCAACCAAAGTCAACAGTCGAGGATTCGAAATCCACACAAGTCAACGTTTGACGATTCGAAACCCTAGGGTCCACGCCGGTCAACGCGTAACCCTAGGTCAACGCCAGTCAACGCGTTGCAACCAGAGTCAACATACTGTGATCCGAAACCCTAAGTCAACACAATGTGACGGATGTAGTTCAAAGTCAACTCAATGACACGAGCCAAACTCGATTCATCAGCTGCAGACTCGAGACTCCGACGACGGCCCGAAGCGATAAACGGCAGTGCCGAAAAGAACTTCGGCTATTCGTCAAAGCATCGAATAGACCGAAATCGAAGTGATGCAAAGAGTTGAAGCTAACTACAGGTCCTTTACGCGCGACTGAAGGCTAGGACGGGGCCAATACACATCCAAAGTATTTCCAGGCCTCTTCTATAAAAGGAAACCGAGTCCGACGCTTTGGAGGGGGTATCATGTAGGCATCGAAAATTGCCTATCGGTCTCCACGAACGGTTCAGTGTTAAAGAGGGCGACGATGAAGCGTTACAATCTGATTCCACGAGGAGTTCAATTGACGTCATGAAGCGATTGAAGTGAATCGACGAAACTACGTGAGGCTGATAACTTCGTTTAACAACGAAGACCCGGGCCACTCGGGAACGGCCGCGATAGTTCCGAAAAAAAAAAAGGACAACGCCCTTTGAGTCTCGGTTCATGCCACAGGCATCCAACAATGGAGGCTGATAGAACTCTTGCGTCCGCTTCCAACGGCACTTCGATCACTAAAATCCAGAGTTGCGACGAAGAATTTACGGGCGGAAGGCAGACAAATGCACCTCAACGGAGCGTCTCAGAATTTCAGAGAACACCCAGAGGTGTCTCCAAAATTCGCGAGACACCCCAGAGGTGTCTCAAATTCGAGACATGCCCAGAGGTGTCCTCCAAATGTGGAGACACCCCAAGAGGTGTCTCGCAGAATTCGAGACACCCGCATGAGGTGTCTCCAGAAGTGGAGACACCCCAGAGGTGTCTCGCAGAATGTGGAGACACCGCAGAGGTCTCTCAGAATTCGAAGACACCCCAGAGGTGTCGCTCCAAAATTTCGAGACACGCCCAGAGTGTCTCGGATTGTGGAGACACCCTAGGGTGTTCTAGGCTTTTCTAGACACCGCTACACCCCCTCTTGCTATAAATAGTAACCATTGGCCTCGACTTTTGGCATAGATCTGGAATTTTGAGAGAAAGAGGCGAAAGCCGCTGCTGGCAGTGAAGAGTGATCGAGCAGCTTCAGGGGAATTCTTCATGCAGATCTTCATCACCCGTCCGATCCTTAGTATTAGCCCTTGGCGTTAATACTAAGAAGAGCTAATATCTCGCTTTATCCGAGATATACGCTTCAAAGCTTCTAGATCCCCTCGCGGATCGACGAAGCTCTGTCCGATTTTTCTGGATCAGAAGTTTCTAGATCTCTCGCGGATCGACGAAGCTCTGTCCGATTTTTCCGGACCAGATCTGATTGCTAGGTAGTCCACGGATATTGACGTCCCCGTCACAGGCCAAAGACCCACGCAAGCAAGAGACCGCAAACCAGGATCTTGTGTTTATTTTCGAAAAATTGTAATTTTTATTTCTTTGTTATTTGAATTTCATTTGTAACGATTGAAGTTTAATGAAATCAATGATGAAGGCAACTTTTTCCGAAAACAGTTAGTTTATCAGAGAGTGAAAAATGAAAGAGTGAAAGTAGCTCTTGTTTATCACTTTTGACGTTTGTTTCATTGAAGGTGCATATAAAAGTGAAATACAAAAAAATTGCCATGTAAAATTTAATGCAAATTCAAGTTTTCCTAAAAAAATGCGTATGTCACGTAAAAGTGAAAAAATAGAGACCACTTTTAACTAAAAATAATTTTTTTTTATTTCTTTATTTTTTTTGCTGCTGGTTAAGAATTTTAATGTTCACTGCTGTTGGAAAAATTTTAAGTTTGGAATATGATATTTTTTTGGAGTTCTTTATATTAGTTCTTCAAATCTTTATTTTTTTAATTAGTTCCTCAATTTTATTAAAATTTTGTCAAGTCCCTAAATACTTATGAAATGTTGCAAAACTGGGCCCTTAATCATTGAAATTGCTATTATGTCCTACAATACTTTTAAGTTGCATCAATTTAATCAATTTAGTCAAGGATAGTAGTAACAAAATACAAGAATGGAGGGACTTAATAGCAATTTCAATCATTGGGGGTCTAGGAGACTTTGCATGATTTTGTTCCCTGAACTGTTATGCTATATATTAAATTTTATATTTTGCTTCTAGTTTTGCTAGTTGTTAACATGATCCGTGAATACTTTTAATTGTAGTTACCAAAAAAATAGGAAAAATTGCTTCAAGGCTCCAAATCCCAACTTTGGATGTGCCCCAGCCCCCCCCAACTTTCAAAACATGTGCGTAACACCCCCCCCCCCCCCCCCCCCCCCCCCCCCCCCCCCCAATACCCACATGGCTACCCCCCCGCCCCCCCCCCCTTTTGTGAAAAAATGTGTCAAGCCCTCTCCCAATTCTCATATAAACTCCAACACAATCCCCATTTACCCTCCCTACACCCCCTCCTCTCCTTTGTTCCCTGCTCGCCGCCCACCTCCCTCCCAGCCTCGCGCTCCCTCCCTCCCCTCCCCCGTCTCCCCCCCCGGGGACACTCCCCCGCCTCCCTCCCCCGTTGCACCTCCCCCTACACCTCTCTCCTCCTCCTCCGGTCCCCCTCTGCCCCCTCCCCCGCTCTGCTGCAGGCGCCGTCCCGAGGAACTTCGCATGGGCACAATAATGTTAACTCTTTTATGTAACATATTAACTCTTTTCTGTAACATGTTAACTCTTTTCTGTAATATGTTAACTCTTACAGCTAACATGTTAGCTGTAAGAATTAACATGTTAGCTGTTAGAGTTAACATGTTAGCTGTAAGAGTTAATATATTAGCTGTAAGAGTTAACATGTTACAGAAAAGAGTTAACATGTTACAGAAAAGAGTTAACCCACTGACATGAGAAAGAGGAGGGTAAATTCGGGATTTAAGTTAGCTGACATGTCTAATCATGAGCTGGCATGTCTAATCAACTGCTGGCATGAGCTGGAATCATGATGGAGGGAGCTGGAATTATGATGGAGGCGCCTGGACACATTTTTTTCAAAAATAAGGGGCTAAAGAACATTAAAAAAATAGGAGGGGCTGGGGCACATTGAAAATTCAAATTTGGGGTCTAGAAGCATTTTTCCCAAAAAATATCCAAAATATGATATGATTTTGAGGGAATTAATAAATAAAATAAATTACCACATCATCTTCACTTCTTTACTGTTTAACACTAATTTGCTTTTGTAAACAAGCACTAAATTTTCAGTTGTATGCTTTCGATTTGCCAAACAGCCCCCTTGGGGTGCATAAAAAGTACTGCCATGGTATTCAAGTTTTGGTGTAACAACATTGGGTCGGATTCAGTTGGAGGATTGTCAGCGCGGTTGGCCCTGAAATTTATCTCTCTCTCTCTCTTGGGAATCGCTCCAAAGGAAAGAATTTCCCCCCATTTTGCTTTCTATTCATCTATTTCTAGGGTTTCATTGTCGTTAGTTTCACAATCCCTGATTTTCTAGGGTTTGCTGTCATTGATCTGTTGGTTTTATTATATTTCATTATAATTTTCTATGATTTTATGGTTCAACGTGTTTTAAGTTTTCGATGGTCATTGGATTTTGTTAATTTTTGACGCTAGGGTTTTTTTTCCATGCTGATTAGCCTAGGGTTTCAGGGTCGGGAGCTTTCCTTTTTTGGGGATTTAAAGCTCAATTTTGTTGTTAGCACGAGGTGGAGAGTTTTGCTATTTAAAAAAAAAATATATATATATATATAATATATATATTATATAATATATAAATAATATATATATATATAGTATAGTATATATATATATATAGCTGTTCTGTCGCTCTTAACTGTTGTCAGTGGCTCATGTAGCGTTGAAGGTTTTACTTATCATTGTAGAGTATTGTGTCATTTTTATCTCATGTGTGTAGTGTTTCTTTCTTCGATATGTTTTTCCTATCAATTTAAACATATTTAAATTTTATGAGAGCCAATTTGGTAGAGTTTAGTTCATATATGGTTTCTCCTTAATAACAACATTAGTTCCCTCCTTAATATGCCCCATTTGATGGGTGTGAACAAAATAGATGTACAAGACGTCAATAAGACTTCCATAACCTTCGTAATCAAGGACGTAATCAGGATCAGCAGCACTATGTGTTCTGTGGAACTGCACACCGTGGCGGAATTAAATTTTTTTTTGTTTCTTCAATATTGTGTATTATAAAATTTGAATGGATATTAGATCTGTGTGGAGAAGTTCTACGGTTAATTATTACTGGTGTGTGCCCTGTGCCAAGCACGACCCCCTATTTGTTTTAAGCATTGCATCTTGAACATGCCTCCCTCTAAGGTTTAATACGTTTGATTTGATTATTGTATGCTTAAAATTAGAAATCATACTTACGGGTCTATACTTAAAAGGGTACCGTTCATGATATAATAATTTACTGTAGCATGAACAGTATAAGAGTGAATACTTTGCACAACATGTCAATAGGACTACTGTAGATTTATTAGCCAGGTGTTTATTTCAAGCAATGGATGATCAAAGAAGCTCCCAGCTTGACCTATAATAACTTAGCCAACTAGGATGAAGAAAGTCAATTACTCCCTAGACATACTTGTCCTTGGTTTGGATAGCTTGTTAGCTACCCTCTTTATACAGCGCCACCCGTATTTCTCCATTTCAGAATTGTAGTTTATTTGATGTTTCCGCTGCAATTATGCTATTAGGCTACATGTCTACGTTTTTTGGAAGACGTTATTGCCAATTTGTCATGTACACCATCCATCTCATTATAGAAGAAAAATGTTAAATGAACGACATTTTTTGTCCTACAAGTGGAAACTGGGTCATGAGGAACTCCACAGGTGACTCTTTCGAGTGCACTTGTGTCTGACAACTGTAATCAAAAAACAAGGATTCCTCAATAGAAATTTTCGTGTTTTAAATTCTTTATGTTCAATTTCTCCATAATGGGATTTATGTTATAGATTCTCCTTGTTCAAACCGAGAAATAATCTGAACTAGGTAAGCTATCTATGTACCATGGCTCCTTATCTTTGTCATGTATTTCTTTTTCTTGGTAGAAGAAATCTTGTAAAGGACTTCATTTGTCGTGCCAAGGATTATAGTATTTGTACTGTACACTATACCTTTGGCACAATTAAACAGGACAATTAAACAGGAATAGTATCATGTATGCAGTTTGACATTGTTTCTTCCACGGAGATGGCAAGTTTCAAAAATACTAGCAATGTCGATTTGCCGAGCCCGAAATAAGAAAGAATGAAAAATTTAGAGCTGGTTAGTTAACTGAACTTGTATCCCAAAACGACTATAACAAGGGGATTTTCCAACTCTAGTGTTTGTTTATACAAGGGGAGTAATGATAGGATTCCTTGCCTCATTATTCAGGGTAATCTTCTCTTTTTGTCCCACCATCTGAGAACTGTACTACATTAATTCTCACTGTTGATAATCTTGCTCATACATGACAAACGGCTAGTCACACAGACACGGCTACAGATGTGGGTACAGGACAAAACCAAATTATAAAAGATAGGGTGCGGGAATAGGGCTATGTGTGTAAGTATATATGTGTATATGCATGCATACATGCATGCACCCATGCATATAGTTGCACACACGCGTGCCATACAGGCACGTGAGTGTTTGCATTAAAAAGAGTATATTTCTAGATTATTGAACCTTGTGGTGCATAACTTACTCAGCTTCACACCAAAAACAGTTTGTGCTAGACATGAATTAATTTCTATTGCGTTATATGACTGAAGACAAGAAGTCTTGTGCTTCGACATGGATTTTCTAAGCTTATGTTGCAGAACCCTTTGGTTTCATGTTTAAACTACACTATCTCATGTTTTGGTAACCTTTCACAACCTATTCATTTGGAAACGTTAAAATGCAAGCACTGTGATCTGCAATCGTGTGTGGTTCAGCTAATTAATAATATTCTATTCCATATTTATCCTTTTAATGTATATGCTATTTCCTTATAGATGATTCTTAAAGGTGATCTTATTCTGAAGAATTTAGACTAAAGGATTTGAATTTTAACAGTGACATTAAAGTGCAGTTGAACAATGGGTAAGAGGAAATCAAGGGCAAAGCCGCCTCCAAAGAAGCGGATGGACAGGCTGGGTACTGTCCTCTGTTGATTATCTTTTGAGATCTTAAAAATTATCCTGGTGCTGGATATTTTCCTATACAAGCTGGGACTGTTCTCTGTATTCAGTGTATTGTTCCCTTTTTGTGCTAAGTTTTGCAGGCACAATGTTTGTTATTTTCTTCAGTGATATGAAGAACTTGATTGGTGAAGCCGCGTGCAGGATTTGCAAAGAAAGTTTCAGCACTAGAGTCACTGGTAAGTTGTGATTGGTGATGTATTATAGTGATATTTAACAGACCAAGATCTAAATATTGCTAATTTTCTGAATTTGGCAGAAATTATGGTTTTTTACATGTGGACTGCTTGAACATAAAAATGTTACCTTAAAAGATTTCAAACTGCGGAAACTTTTTCATACCTATAATTTGCTTCCAATCCTTTTCAGAGTTAGGTTCCTTAAAAGAAAATAAGTGAACTTGAAAGAATCATGAGAATTTTGTCCACTCTTCGGATATCTTGGAGGTTTTTTTTTGTACCATACCACTATGTATTGTGCTATTAGTGCCGTCTTGTATAGCTGGTGCATTACCATGTTTCTGTTATCGGTCATACTCTGTATCCTGATCATTTCTTTGCTTTCTTCTTTATTTGCAGGGCTTACAGAGCCTATCAACATGTAAGTTGCGCATTTCTTGTTCATTTACTTTGTTCTATCTTAGTTTTATTTGATGATCAATAGTTTTCACAGAATTCTGAGTTGGAAACCAATTGGAATTATGCAGATACAGTGAGTGGATAGACTGAGTGTGAACAACCTGGAAGACGATGTTGCCTAACCGAACAGTCTTTTCAAGATGGAGAATGCTTAAAACTGCGACTAGCTAGTTTCGTATGCTATTTGCGCTCTAGTAAATGCAACATACGTATGCATACTGTGAAAACTAGGGTTGTGAGTTGTAACATATTTCCGAATGCTAGAATATAATAAATGTACCAGGGTGTTTTGCTTCTATGTTATCATGTGAAGTATACGTTCTCCCCATTTTGTCCATCTGCTTAATTAGAGATCCACTTGATCCTCTACTTGTGGAGTGATATGTTTATGAAAACATAGAAGATGAGGCCTTCAGGTGAGGAGCTATTTAAAGTCTTTTATACGCTGCAACATAGGGTTTAATCTACTGGAACAGTCAAAAGGGTTTATAATTAATCGCACATAAGGCCCCTACAGTATCGCAACCTGAAACTGATTACCATGTAGTTTGATTTTAGTAGATAAGACCCCCTTGATAATAAAAAAAAACTCTCTTTTCCTCTTTGTGATGTTTTTTTTTTTTTTTTTTTTTTTTTTTTTGGGGGGGGGGGGGGGGGGGGGGGGGGAGGTAAAAAAAAAACTAAGAGTGGTTTTGCACAAAAATACTATAAACTAGATATGAGGCAAGATCACACAAATGGCCACTGTAATAATAAATTTTTCACCTATAGTATACAAAATTTGGTATCTAGTATTTGACATTGTGATACTTTTATGAACAATAATCAACCTTGTTGAGTTTATAGTATGAGATATACCGCAATGGTCCTGCAAGTTGAATAATCCATCTTTGAAAATTCTCCTTAGTATCAGGTATTGTATCCATCACTCGATCGAGCAAGCACCACTAAACCAAGGACAAGAGCCAAGACGAAATGACTGAAGAAGATCTGTCTAAAGATAGAAATATACATACATTAGCAATATATCTCTCACTCGTCATTCATTTAAAGGTTAATTGCACATAGAACCCAAGTATTGCAATTTTGCACTTACCATCCATGTAGTTTCATTATCAATGACAGATCCCCTTAGTTAAAAAATTTCAATTCTTTTACCCAGGTGAAATTTGGCAGATATTGCACTTGGGTGAAATTAGTGAGTTCATCTGAGGGTAAAAGAGTCCAAAAAAACCTTGGGGGTACATCTGGAACAATGAAACTACAAAGGTAGTAAAAGTGGAAAATAATGACACTGCAGGGGTCCGTGTGCAATTAACTATTCATTTAAACCACAAGAGGACCTTCACAACATTTAATGC